TCAGGATTCTCCATTCCCTTTCCCAGCCCCATTCCCTTCTCTGGACACGCTCCAGCCCCTCCAGGTCTGTCTTGGAGGGGCCCAAACCTGAGCAGAGCCCCAGGCGTGGCCTCAGCCGTGCCCAGCACAGGGACAGTCCCTGCCCTGGGGCTGTGGCCATGCCAGGGCTGGTGCCAGCCAGGTGCCAGTGGCCTCTTGCCCACCTGGGCTCCTGTTCAGCCCCCGTCCTTTCCCGGCTTTGCAGCCTGGAGCTCCAGGGGTTGTTGTGACCCCAGGGCTCTGTGAAACCTCATGGATCCAGGCTGGCCCCTTTGGAGGCACCCAGGGAATTGGGAGTGGAGAGGGGAGGAAATCCTTCCAGGACACACCATAACCTGTTCCTCACTTTTAGAGTTGGAGGAACCCCTGGAATTTTCTGGGAGAATCCAAAAGTGCAGCCCAGATCCACCAAAAGCTGGAATTGGTGTGAACCTGGCTGGCCAGGAGCTCCTTTAATGGAATATTTTCCACTGCCTGGTAGAACCTTCCTCCCCATCCCCTCTCCCAGCCGGGGGCAAAGTGACCATAAAATATTCCCGTGTTGATCCAACTTCCATGTGCTGCTTGGGGAGGGGAGGTGGGCACGTTCCTTGGCCCTGCTGTGGTTGATCCCCAGCTTCCTGGCTTTCTGTTAATATTTCTTTTTTATAACTGAAAATTTGTTCCTGGGAATAGTTCAGCACTGGTGGCTCAATGCCAATGTACATACACTTAATTTAGATTTAATGGGGACTAGAGTTTCAGACAGGAGGTGGAAAAAAGGGGGAATATAGAGGAAATTTCAAGAAAAAGAGTGTTTTACGTGAGGAAAACTGGTAAATACTTCACTGAGTAAAGTACATGGAAACCATAATGGCAAAGTTACTCTGAATTTGTTGACTGAAGCTTTTGGAAGCTGATAAACTCCTCTAACTCTCATCCTGTTGAATTTGATCAGGCTTTTCCCCTTGGTTCCAAAGCAAGGTCAGCCCACCAGTAAAATTCACTGTTAGAAATGGAAATGGTGAATTTGGGAGAGGAACTCTTTATTCAAGGTGTGAGAACTGCACTGGCTGCAGCTTCCTTGGGCTTTCCTAATCCCCAGGGTTCATAACAAATTTATTTGTTATTTTGTTTGTATTTATTTGTTTTCCCCTTCATGTTTTGATTCAGGATGGCAGCAGAAGGGAGTTTTGTCCTGGCTTTGAAAAGGAACAATTGTGGCTGATTTCTTCCAAGTTATGTCTGAGTTAATGAGATTGGAATAAAATTCATTTAAATTGAAGTAAATACTAATGTTATGAACACACATTTCTCTGTGTGTGCTGTAGCTACTCTGCCAGTTGTGGTTGTGCTCTTGTTTCAAGGCTCTGGGACAGAATATTTGGGTATTCCTGAAGTTGAACATTTGGGACAGAATATTTGGGTATTCCTGAGGTTGAGCACTTTCAGCCTGTGTCCTGTGAGAGGTGGACAATGGGTGTTGGAAACAGGAAATTATTTGAAGAAAAATTGAATTTAGGGATTTTTAAATTTAATTTTGAAGGCATGTGGTTGGATCATTGAGTTGTCTATGCAGGGCCAGGAGTTGGATTATCCATGTGGGTTCCTTCAAACTCAGGATTTTTTGTGCTAAATAAGTGAAGTAATAAAGTGGATTTATACATTATTACTATTTAATTCCTATTACTATAGGAATTAAATACTATACTATTAATATATATATAATACTATACTATTATAGTATTGTATAGTATTATTATTATAGTATAGTATTATATATATAATATATAATACTATACTATTAATTCCTATTACATTATTACTATTTAATTACTATTAATTCCTTCAGTGGAGGAATTTGTTGCAATGAGAGGTTTCAATGCAACGTGTGCAGCATCAGTGAGTCCTGTCATAACCAAGTGAATCACGGTGACTCCTGTAAATAATAAGCTTTGTGACAGTTCTAATTTGCTCTAATTTGGCCTTTTTTGGTGCTTGCAGGGGTGGCTGTGTCCCCTGAAGCCGAGGGCAGGGCTGTCCTGTGCAGGCCGTGTGTGACAGCACGGAACAGCACAGCCTGGCTGGGCACCAGGACTTCTCAGAAATGGCAAATTCCCCTTGCCAAAATGGCATCCACGAGCACTGAAGGACTGCCAGGGATTTTGGGCTTGCTGCCACACTCTGTGCTGGCCCAAAAGTCTTTCACCATGAGCAGAATTTCAAGTGACTCAGTGCTGGCAGTGCTGGTGTTTTGGGTAAACACTTTGGGGATGTGGGGAGGCCGCCTCAGAATCCTTCTCTAGGTTGTGTTGCTCTCCTAAAAATTAATCCTCTCCATTTCTGGCCTGATGGATTTCTTGGGCTCAAGTGGAAGAGGAAAATCGTTGTGCATAGTTGGATTTGATTCCATGTCCGTGTTAATGGATGAATTATCATTTCCATCAGTAAATCTCCATTTGTCTCTCCAGTGTTTTTTACTCCAGGTTAAAAAAGGAAAAAAGAAAAGTCCACTGATCTCTTGATATTCCTTTGTAAAATGGTAGAAGCAAGGAGAGATTGCAGTGATTTTATTTCAGTTTTACAGGTTGAAGGTTTCTCTTAAAACACTAATAAATAACCTGGACTGAGAAATCCAGGGGAGCAAGGCTGACAAATATTTTGACTTTAAAATCAGGACCATATCCTGAAAAAGGTTTCATCAGAACTGAGCTGTAGAAAAACCAGGCAAGTTCATCCTGAAGAAAAAAAGTCAAGTTTTGCTTTAGTTGTAACAAGATGTGAGGAAACTCCTGCTTCTCACTCAGTTTAGGAAGATTTAGAATTTGCAGTTCTTGCAAATGTGGTGTGGATTGGAGCTTTGTGAGCTTTGAGAGTGTGAACTGAAGGTTCTCCTCATCCCTGGGAATGTGCAGTGAAGAGCAAGGAAAACTTCAGCTCCTGCCTCAGCCCTGGGGCAGGGAGGTTCCTCCTGCAGGGGCTGAGCTCTGGGTGCCGCTGGAAAATCCCTTTGCAGCTTGGTTATTTCTCTGAAAACTGAATTTCTGATAAAGGGAGAATGAAAAGCTGGAGGTGTTGGTGCTGTCTGAGCTGTTTCACAGATATTAACCCTGTCCTTGCTGTTTTGCAGGAGTGCATGCTGGGCCAGCTGTGCCCTGGGGAGCTGCAGTGGTGCCTGAGGGGTTTGGCTGCAGGTTCTGAATGATGTCAGAGCAGGATTTGGCAGATGTGGTTCAGATTGCTGTGGAGGACCTGACTCCTGATAATCCAGGTAGGAGGAGATTTCCAGCAGTGCCCATGAACTGGAAATCACTGCTGAGCTTTGCTTTAAAATACAGAGCAGGGATTTATTCCACAAGGTGCTTTTGAAGCCCATGTGCCATGATTTCCAGAGCTTCACTTGTGCATCCTCAAACCTTTTAGATCAGATTATTTTATTTATTTCACTTTTCTCTTAATTGCCTGTTTGTTTTTTGTGCAGGGCTAGACTAACCCCAAAACCACTGAAATATTCCTGCACTCTTGTTTTTTTCCATGGTTTGTGTTTTCCTCCAATGGAAACTGTTCCCCATCCATTAGGAATTGTTTTATGTGTAAGACACTTTGTCTCATCCATTATTAAAATTCTTTGGACAGTCAAATAGCAAAACACTTCTGAAAGTAAATATTTGGATATCACTTGCTCAGAAATTGACTTCCTGAGTGAAAATCTATTGAGATGTTGGTCCTCTGTGGCTATTGCAAGGAAGAGCAGTAATGGAAATGAGAGACAGAGGCCAAAAAAACTGCTTTTGTGATAGAAAATGAAAAAGTTACCTCAGAAATGGTCCCAAAGAGTTGGAGAAGAAACTGAGACCTGCCAGTCCTTCAGAAGTCTTTGCTTGGTAGAGGAACTCAAACCTGGTCCCATCACCACTGTCAGATATGTGAGAGAAACCCCAAGCAAGTGTCAAATAACACATTAAATATCTTAATTAAACTTACAGGCCTTTGTGGTTTTAATCTGAGTTTTTTCCTCTCAGGCTCTAAACTCTGGCAATGCTTTTTGTTTCCTTTGCAGTTGTGTTGGAGAACCATGAAGTGGCAGATGATGATGTGGAGCCTGCCCTGAAACGTCAGAGGATAGAAATCAACTGCCAGGATCCCTCTATTAAGGTTATTTAATCCTCTTTCCTGGGTTTCATTTTAATGATAATTTAGTTTAGGTGAAGTTATTACAAAAATGTAAAATAAACTGTTTATACTTAATCCTGGAATTATTCTGGAAGATACTTGTGCATTTTTAGGCACAATTTTAAAAATCTGGGTAATTGTCTAATTTTCCATGGTAGAATTAGTAGCAAGAATTTCAGATGTAATGTAAAATATCACCAGAATTAATTCCACTGACCCAAAACTTCAGTACTGGGACATTTTTTGATAAAGTAAATGAAGTTGACCAAAAAGAGATGAACTTGAGGATGTATTTGTGTTGCAATTTGTAGATACTTTCAGCCATGTTTGAAGGTATTATTTGAAGCTAACAGCATTCTCCTGATAGATAATTCCCATTTCATTCTGGCCCAGGAGCTCAGAAATCACCTTGCTGTGATTTAGGGCTGGTTTTACCCTGGAGTGTGAGTACCTGATGATATTTCAGTGCCACAGCCACTGTCCTGTGTAATTCTGCATTTTTGGGGTGATCCCAGGAGCTGGAGCTGGTGAAGGGAGGATTTGGGGTGCTCAGTGGCTGCAGGGCCACAAGATGGCACAGCTGCTGTTTGCAAAGCACACAGAGTGCAGCTCTCCCTCTAATGGCCTGTTTTCCCAGGAGAACCCAAGTGGAATATGTTTTCTTTTCAAAAAGATTGCTTAGCAAAACAGATTTTATTTATTTGCTTTTCTTGATTTGCTGTTCAGCAGGAAGCTGAAGTGAGTGGCATTAATTGTCTCCAAGATTTTTTGTGTTGATACAATTTCCACTGCAATTTATCTGTTTGGGCAGGAAAAAAACTTACTAACTTTATCCAGGAGGATTCATCCAGAGATTTATAATCCTTTTGTTTTCACATGTGGGCTGCAAGGCTTTGGCAAGTCATTAGAAATGATTTTGCAGTGGATGAAATCATCCTGACAAAGTGCTTAGGTGAAAATGGCTTTGGCTGGGCTGCTTTTGGCTCCCAGCTAAAGATCTGGAAGAATGTGAGCCTGCTGAAACGCTCCTGGATGTCATCAGGGGTGGATTTTGTCACTAGACAGGCTGTGAGTTCCTTTGGGATGGCTGCCCAGTCACGTTTGCGCGGAGCTGCCTCGGGAGCGGGGCTGAGCTGGGCGCGCTCAGCGCGGCTTCTCCTCCTCCCTCCGCAGTCGTTCCTGTACTCCATCAACCAGACCATATGCCTGAGGCTGGACAGCATCGAGGCCAAGCTGCTGGCCCTGGAGGCCACCTGCAAATCGCTGGAGGAGAAGCTGGACCTGGTCATGAACAAGCAGCACAGCCCCATCCAGGTGCCCATGGTGGCCGGGTCCCCGCTGGGCGCCACCCAGACCTGCAATAAAGTCCGATGGTAAGGACACAGCTCTGCCCACTGCCCTACAAACCCCCCAAATGCAGGAGCTGGCCATTCCTGCTCCCTGTGCAGCTGAAAAGAGGCTGCTGCTGGAGGTAGAGTTCATTTATCTTCTTGAAGGTAATTTTTGTAGCAGCTTCGTGATGTTACTCAGAAGCAGATGCTGGTCCAGGGACAGTTTGCAGCTCTTCCCACATTTCATCCTGACTTAAACCAGACTCCTTCATCCATCCCCTGGAAAAGCCTCAGCAGCTCTTTCAGACAGGTTTTTGAGACTCGCTCTGCTTTTATTTATAGCTGTTTTGACTTAATGAGTTCATCATCATTCTAATTGCTTCTCATTTTACTTCTCTTCACCACAAGTACAATGGACTGTGTTTTATGAACTTGTTTGCTAAAGAACCCTGCTAGAAAAATATCTCTGCTTTTTTTGGAGTTAGAAGCTGGAGGTGGAAAATCTGTTGAATAATCTAATGCTGAAAGATTTGGCTGAAAGATCAGGCTTGACCTGCAGTCCCTTTGTGTCTCACTCCCCTAATGTGGTTTTAAATACCTAAATCTTGATGTGTCTGTCATCTTATCATCGAGGTGATCCCAGCCAGAGAAATCTGCTTAACAAAAGACTCTTTTCTCCAACACTTCTTCCTCCTTTTTCATTTTTTTTTATAGCTGGAAAACACTTCATCCTGCTCTGAATAACTACTTTTTACTCTCCATTACAAAGGGGTGTGCAGGCATTTAATTTTTCTTTTAAGCAGGTGCTGTGTCTGCTTTTACCTCTGCTTTTGAGGGCTTCATACACTGAAAAGATTAATTATGGCTGAACTGTGTAATAACAGACACAAAGTACATGCAATAAAGACTTGGATCACAGAGGCAGCAACCACAGTTTTACACCAGGGCTTTTGCTAAATACTCCTTTCTCAATAATTGTTTCTTCAAGAGCCTTCTTGTCATTAATTTAGAGATCTCCAAGTTCTTGTGCACGAGCTGAACTTTTTGCTGTGGTTTTTGCACAAAAGGCTTCAGAAACCTTTTCAGGAACCCACAGCCCCTTTGGGACCCTATTAATTCATGCTCAGTGAATGCTTCCCTCTGTAAATTGTACTATTTTGAGTTTCTGAAGGAATTTGTCAGGCTTGAGCTGCTTGGTTTGGTTTGGTTTGTTTTTAAATCTCTGCAACCATCAGAAATCTGTCCTGGCTGTTGATTGTACTTCATCTTTTGGTTTGGGTTACAGATTTTTGCTGACAGCTCCTCAGTCGGTCTGACACCATCATTTAGATAGAAGTCTTGAAGAAAGCAGCAGTCTCTGCCCCAAATATTTGTTGCTGTTGGTCTGAAGTTGCACATTATCAGAGGTGTGATGCCAGGAGAGCACTGAGGGCTTTTTGTTCTGGAGCAGACTGTGGCCTGTGGGACTGGAGAGAAAATAGGGCTGGATGTGTTGAATTTGGCACTGGGGACGCTCCATTTGCACAAGGACAGAATGTTTCCCTGAATTCCCTGTCTTTCATCCATAAATCCCTTTATCACTTGTTGATTGTTTCCAATTAAAGGCTGTTCCATTGTACCAGCTCTGTATCCTTCCCTCTTCCCCATCCATCACAGGAGGCAGAGCTTCCCATAAGTTTGGGATAGGGATTTTCAGATTCTCCACAGGAATGGGATTCTCCAGCCTCCTTCTCCTCCTCCTGCCACCAAACCCATGCTGGGTTTGCTGCTGTAACAAAAAGTTGTGGTTATTAAAGGCTGTCAGGGAAGGTGGTGCTGCACTGCCAGGAGAGCAGCTCTTGGGAAAAAATGGGAATAAATCCAGTAAATACCTCAGGATCCTGGCTGAGAATTGGGGCTGTGGGAATCCATGAGCTGCTCGGTAGGGCCTGGCCTTGATTCTGCCCCTCAGGTGAGACCCCACCTGCAGAGCTGCCCCAGCACAGGAGGGACCTGCAGCTGCTGGACAGAGCCCAGAGGATGGAGGATGAGCAGAGGATGGAGCAGGAAGGCTGGCAGAGCTGGGATTGGTCACCTGGACAGGAGCAGCTTTGGGGTGACCTCAGTGTGGCCTTCCAGGACCTGAAAGAGCTGCAGGAAAGATGGAGAAGGACTTTGGACAGGACCCAGGGAATGGCTCCCACTGCCAGAGGGCAGGGCTAGGTGGCACATTGGGAAGGAATTGTTCCCTGGGAGGATGGCAGGCCCTGGCACACATTCCCTGTGTAGGCACTGAGTTGGTGGTGGTTGGAGTGGGGCTGGCACAGCCCAGCCCTAACTGGGCACAGTGGGAGGAGCTGGAGAGCAGCACTGACAGCAACGGGACATGGAGTGCCCAGGGGTGCTGGGCAAGCACCAGGGAGCAGAGGGCACCCAGGGGCAGGGCATGAANTTATTTCCCCCGTGTTTATTATTATTTCCCCCGTGTTTATTATTATTTCCCCCGTGTTTATTATTATTATTATTTCCCCCGTGTTTATTATTATTATTCCCCCATGTTTATTATTATTTCCCCCATGTTTATTATTATTATTATTATTTTCCCCCATGTTTATGATTATTATTACTATTATTTCCCCCGTGTTTATTATTATTTCCCCCATGTTTATTATTATTATTTCCCCATGTTTATTATTATTATTTCCCCATGTTTATTATTATTATTTCCCCCATGTTTATTATTATTTCCCCCGTGTTTATTATTATTATTTCCCCCATATTTATTATTATTTCCCCCATGTTTATTATTTCCCCCATGTGTATTTCAATTTTTCCTTTTAAAAAATAATTTTTAAGCTTTTTCCCCCATTTTTTTATTTTTAAAAAAATGATATATTTTCTCTTTATTCCTTTTATATTATATATATATATTTTTTCTAATTTTTCTCGGGTTTTTTCCCTGCCTTTTTGTTATTTTTCCTAGTTTTGTGTATTTCTTAAAAACAAAGTGTTCCTTTCCCTGTGTCGCCACACTTAATTTTTACAGTTCAGCTGTGTTCAGAAGAAGAGATTTTAAAATTTTGTTGTATTTTTTTAAACCAAGATCTAAAATAATTTGTGTCCCCATCGAGGTGGTGGAAAATCCCTGGAGGAACAAGCCAGGCTTGGGAACAGGAGGGTTTGGGTTGATGAACCCCTTGGAAATGGGTTTTTGGAGTTTGGTTCTCCAGGTCGGTTCAGCTTTTCTCAGAGCACAATAATCCCCAGGAGATTTAACAGCTTTAAAAATTGCATTAAAATTAAATTTAAAAAAAATGAAATTAATCTTAAAGCTGATAATTGATGTTCTCCTGCCTCCAGCCAACCAGAGGCTCCTCTGTAGCTAAAGATGGATTTTGTAACTTGGAAAATCTCTGATTTCTACTGAGTTGGGTTGAAAATTCAACATGGACTGTGTTTAAATTGTTTGGATAAAGCAGCATTTGCTTTATCTTTTATTATAAATTGCTTCCAGGGCTCTCGGCTCCAGTTTTTCCAGCCCTGCCTGGTGGATTTTGGCTTGTCCTGTTCCTGGGCTCTCTGTGTCGCTGAAGGACACGAGAGAACACGAGCACACCACCACTCTCAAGGTGAAGGGAAAAAAGGAAAGTTTTATTTTCTGACTCCAATATTTATAGTTTTACAAAAGTGACAGTGGACTGGAAGGTGACAGTGACACCTCTCCAATGACACTGGTCAAACCAACAGTCCATCAACTCTCTCCTCCTCCATAAAGGAATGAAAAACAATGAGTTATTCACACAAAGTGTGTGAGAAAGTTCACTACAAGAATGTCAACATCATCTTAAAAAACCAGGGTGACATCTCTGCTCTGGGGGATGTCCAGAATCCAAAGAGAATTTTTAATCCTCAGCTCTCTGGAAATGATGGATGCCACTGCTGCTTTTTTGGCAGTTTCCTGTGCCTGGACCATGAATTTGGGGATTGAAAATTGAATTGTTGAGGTGCACAGTGTGCTTGCTGACAGCTTTGGTCATTTTGGGGCATCCACCCAAAGGAAATTCATGGATTCTGTGCCAGTTGGTGGCTTTGCTGCACTGGCAGATCCTGGCTGGGTTTTCTCTCCCTTTTTGGCCAGGGATCCTTAACTCTGCCAGCAGCAGGCAAAGGAAGCAGGTGGCCATCAGGAGGAAGGAGCACTGGCACATTATCTGCCTAAATAATGATGAAAAGATGTAAAAAGGGGCTGTTGTAAAGGATGAACACGAGTGTTAGTGAAAGATAAACCAGGGATAAAATAAGGAAAACAGCACATTGTACAACAATATTTGTTATATTTAGATTTTCTCCCTGCTGGAGATAATTGTGATATTCCTCCACACATGAACTGTACATTTCAATTTTAATTTAAACTGGGAAATAGTAGATTTCAAGGGCTCTTTTCCAGCCTGGCTTTCCTTTAGGCTGCAGAGTTTTCCAGCAGGAATTCCAGCTCCTCTTCCCATGAGCTGATCCATGGGAGTGAGGACAAAGGGGAGAACCTGCCTGAAAATCTCCCTCCAAGTCATTTTCAGTTTTTTAGAGAAACACTTTTGATCCTCATGGAAGAGAGAAATGTCAGTTCATTCTTTCTGCCTGATTTTTCTCTCTCTCCAAATGGAAAGCTCAGCTGGGAAGAGGAGGAGAGGATGGGGAGAGGATGGTCCTGGCACTGCCAAAAGTTCTTTTCTGTCTCTGGCTGCACTCTGGGTGATTGGCAGGTTATTGGCAATGGAGCCCAGCCTTTAAGATGAATGATCAGATCTGACTCACACATTTTCCATACTGAAAATGACCTTTGCCAGCAATTTCCTTATGCAAAATATAGACTGGCCTTTTGTATTTAAAAAAAAAAAAAAAATCAGAGGCTGAATACGCAATCATTAATTGGCATGTTTATTTTTTTAGGAATATTTTCACCTGTAATTTGACTGATTATTCAGTGAACTGCATAAAAAAATTCCCAAATATCTGCAGGTTGCATGCATTTCAATGTTTTTTAGGGAGTTGTGTCCAAGAAGAGGCAAATTGCTGCTCCAGTCTCTCCAAGTGCTGATGCTTGTGGGGAAAGGAATATGCGAGCACAAATGGAAAGTTCTGGGGCCTGTGCACTCCCTCTGGGTTTGTGAAACTCCCCCTGACCCCTGGAATATTTTCCTTCCATCTTCCCCCTGAGTGCTGGCAGCACTCAGAATTGCTTCCCTTGGGGTCTGAGGGAATATCCAAAGCTCTCCTCCTCCTCCTCCTCCTTTGGATTCTCTGTGTTTTAGTACAGAGGGAATGGTTAAAGCTGTTTCATCTTCTGAAAGAGATGGAGAGATTGAAGAAAGGAATGGGAATAATCCAAGGATGCACTTGGCTTTAATGAATTTTAATAGATTTTTATCTTGGCCCAATATTTTGATTTTATGTAGAATTCCATTATTTATTTTGTGTCAATTCATCAGATTTCTAAATAAATCTGAAAACAGGGACTGGAACGTCTCCCAGGGAAGCAAATTCTTTATCACCCTCCACAGGTCCCTACCAGGAGGGTGCAGCCAGGTGGGAATTGGGCTCTGCTCCCAATTCCAGGATGGGAGGGAGCAGCCTCAAGCTGCTCCTGGGGAGTCCAGATTGCACATCAGGAAGGATTTCAAGCAACTCCATAAAAATGAACATTCCTAAGACAAAGCAACCCCCCTCAATTCCTGATTTTATGCCAATTTTCACTGCTAAGGCTTTTATTTTTTTCTTCAGACACAAACTTAATAAGAGCAAAATGCTAAGGACTTTCTAAATGTAATTTTATTGCATTTATCTCTCCAGTTGAATTTAATTATTCAGAGTCTTCATTAAAAAGAAGCTTTGGTAAGTGACATTTTAAACAGGCCTTCAGAAGTGATTGCAAGGGAGATGCTGATAAAGAACAGTGTCTGAAAGGAAGTGTCAAATACTTGAACATTTTAAACTGGGATGTGAGGACTTGCAGGGCAGCTCTTTGGATAATTTGGGCAACGTAATGAGCACACACACGATGCTGCTGGCCTGGGAGCTGCCAGCACTCCCTCATCTCCCTCTTTTATCAAGTGTTTGGTGGGGTTTTTAAATGTTTGGTGCAGAGAAAAGAGATGGAAGTTGTCTTTTTTTGAAAAATAAAAATATGTGGGTTTTTTTCCCTTTGACTGGAAGTGCCCTAAATCCTGATTCTCTAGAGAATAATAGGAAAGCAACGGAAGCCCCCATTTCTTTCTTGCTTTCTGAAATCTGAGCTCCAAATGCACATGAGGAGCTCTGGCAGAGCCTGCCCAGCTCTGCCCCCTGGGTTCCCTGAGGAACCCCAGCAGCACTGGCAGGGGGAGGCAGGGCATTGCAGCCTGGGGCTTTTGGAGCCAAAAAAATCCGGGATCAAGCGTTTTGTTTGTGCCAAAAATGGGATCCGTTCATCCTCAGCTCCACGACAGGGCCTTATCTTTCCTTGATGATGGATAATTTGGCACTTGAGGCTTCCACAGGCACGAGAATGTTCAAGTGTGTGCTCTGCTGCAGCTGCAGGAAACGCACTTGCTATCACCCAATTGGCTTAATTTGTGTTTCAGTAATTAGCCAGGGGAAAATAAATGACCCCCAGTCACGTTTGGGATGTTGGAGCAGTGACAACAAGAACAAGCTGTTTACTGTGGGGAGAGCAAAGGGGAACTGAACCAACATTTCTCTCCCTCAGTTCTCCCTGAGCACAGCAGGAACAGTTTAAGTCTGAAATCCCAACCTGGGAATATTGAGTGTGGTGTGGCAGTAATGTGAAAAATCCCTGCAAACAGGTCAGGTGCCCATCTGCATGTGGAGACAGTTGTTTGTTTTATATTTCCTTTTGCATTCCAGTGTAGACTTAGCCTGTCTCAAGTTTTCCTTCTCCAGTGTCATCAGGAGTGATAAGAGAAGCTTTTTCTGGTTTCTCACACATTAAATTATTTTGGTGTTTGGATTTAGGCTTTTTAATGTGTGAAATGCAAACAAGAAGTAGTTTAGTCTTGTTTTTATTCAGTAACAGTCTGGTCCTGTTTGCTGTGATGCTTCTTGTGCTGCTCATCTCCCCACCCTGGAGGACAACACGTGCCTTTTAACCATGCTCATTGTCCACTTTTGCAATAAATCCTTTCAAATTCTCTTTTCCTAGAAATCATCCCACTGAAACTGATGCATTACCATGTAAATTTGCCACAGCACCTCTTCAACCACTCAGATGCTCCCAGAAAGAATTTGGTGGAGCTGTGATTTACACACTTCCCCCTGTGTGTCCTGAATTGATGAATTCCTTCTTGCTTCCTCAGGGGTCGTGGACTTTTATATAATTCCACAGGAGCCATCCATCCTCTGGAAAAATCAGAGTGCTCGAGGTGGTGCCGGTGTCAGCCTCGATGGATTGCCGGCGTCAGCGGTGCCGGGAGAGGGACGAGGCCCAGACCCTCCCTGGATTACTCAAACCAAAACCCTCTTCATGCATTATTTATAAGCTTTGCTCTTTTACATTCCTCTTCCCTCTGTGATTATTTTTTTTTGCAGTGTTGTCCCTCAGACCACGGTGATCCTCAACAACGACCGGCAGAACTCCATCGTGGCCAAGATGGTGGGGCAGGAGGAGCCTCTGAGCAGAGCAGCAGATTCCCTGGAGAACATCCTCAGCAAGTGAGTGCCATTCCCTGGAACCCTCCCTCCTTCCCTCCCTGGGCAGGACCACTCTCAAAGGCCAGTTTTTCCCTTCAATTAGAGGGGAAAATTGAGGAATTCTTGAGGTAATAATGGGGGAAAGATTGAACCTGTGCTTGGATAGGTTCTCTTGCTTCCCTCTTGATGGGAGAGAGCATCCTGGAGGAGCTGGGATTATCTGAGCATCCTGATGGGATTATCTGGGCATCCTGATGGGATTATCTCTGTGTTAAGTTAAACAAGGGTTTCTATAGCTGTGGATTTTTACATGGATGCACAATCCCTTGAGAACAGGCCAAAATCCTGTATTTAACCAGCTGAAGGAGGAATATGCAGTCCAAGGAAAACTTGGACTACCTAAAGTGAATTTTAAACAAGCAGAGCTGGGGATTCTGGGTGGAAAATGGTCGTAATTAATATATTTTTATAAATTACTGGGATATTTCTTTTGTTTTGCACATGGGGCCTAGACTTTTCAATTGAGGCAAATGTAGGAAGTTGATACTGAAGATTTTTTTATTCCTTCTCCTATGTGTGACCCAAAGGACAAAGTCTAAACCTGCACAAAGGAAAATTTAGGTTGGATGTTAGGAGAAAGTGTTTTACTGAAAGAGTGGTAAAGTATTGGAATCATCTGTCTGAGGAGGTGGTCGAGTCACCATCCCTGGATGTGTTTAAAAAGAGACTGGATGTGGCACTGGGTGCCATGGTTTAGTTGAGGTGTTAGGGCATGGGTTGGACTTGATGATCTTTAAGGTCTCTTCCAACCTGGTGATTCTGTGTGATTTTTATTCTCCTAGATAACTCTGAGTTCCACAGGAGCAGAGTGATTTAAAGGAGCTGATTTTATCCAACACATTTATTTTGTTAATTAGTGCTTTTAATTCCCTCACAACGATGTGCAGGGCCATGAGCTGAACTGAGTGATGCTGGAATTTGGATATTCCATGCTCATGTTCCTTCTGAGGAGCTGTTCTCTTCAGGTGACCTGTGTTTCTTGCCCACAGTGTGATTTTTTTTATTTTGCTGGGTAGTTCTGCAAGAGTAGAGTGATTTAAAGGAGTCCGTTTTATACAACACATTTATTTGGCCCTCACAACGATGTGAAGGGCCACAAGCTGAATTCAGTAACTCTAATTTGGATATTCCATGCTCACATTTATGCTGAGGGGCTNAGGTGTTCAGATGAAAATGGAGAGAATTAAAAGGTAAATGGAGCTCAGGTGTTTTCCTGCACCTTTTTTTTTTGCCACAGTTAAAAACCAGACCACAAACATCTGGTTCTGTTCCATTTGTATGTGTGGGTAATTGACAAAAAGGACAGAGATAAAAACATTTATATTTTGTCTTTAATGAGAGTGGGATAGTAGTAAATGGAACTGTAGATTAATTGTACTCAGTTAATGAGCCAAAATCCATCCTGGTGTCCTTGAACAAAACTCATTGGGGGTTGAACATTGGCTAATTAATGTGGCTAATTAATCCTCAGATGCAGTTTTGTACCAGATGGGATGTTTGAGTTTGCTGTGCTTTTTGTAGGTGTGGATCATTGAAATGTTTGTTTTACCATTGAATTTAATCAGCAGAACAATTTAATTGAATTTGGAGAACAAGACCTGTCCACCCACTTTGCAATGTGCCATTTGGCCAAGCCCCCTGGCTCCACATCCCCCAAATTCCACAGCTGGGGTTCTGCTCATTGTTTCCTTGTTTACAAGTGGGTTTGGGATCAAATAATGCAAAATTGAGAGTTGAGATGTTCTTAAATGAGGTTGTAAAGCAGAGAATGTGGTGGGGAATGAATTGTAGGGGGACTGTTCTAGATTTAACAAAAATACTTTTGCTTCTCCATAAAACCTTTAGGAAAACAAACAAACCTAAAGAAATATAATCAAGGTATTGGTGTATAAACCCTAAAATAGCCAGAATTCTATTTTTTAAATTTATATACATCTATATATTTATTCTTTCTGTGAGTTACAAACCCCTTGGCCAACCTAATTGCATTTTTATCAGGAGGATTTTTACTGATTATAATAAACTATCCCACTATGCTAATCCAGACTTTTAGAAGAAATAATAATTCCTCAGCCCTTATCAGTGAGCAGTGGCTGCTGAGTCTCTTCCCTGTGTTCACTGCAGTTGATATTATAACTCATTAGGGGATGTAAACCACTTTATATCCTTTTATTTCACTCAGTGATAAATAAATTAACATTGGGAACCTTCAGGATTTCTGCTGGTTTTAACTCAATTTAAGAGCTAATTGTTCCTTCTTGGAATTGCTTCTGAAGACCCAGAATTTGGAGGGAGATTTTAATTGATTTATTTGGGAACAAATAAATGGATTGAGGAGCAGAGGATCAGGCAGGGTGAAGGGTTTCTTTTCAAGGGGCAGGTCCATGAATCAGCCTGGAAAAACATTTCCCTGCAAAGAGAGAAACCCAGCAATGCCTGGGGCTGAGAGTCAGATACAGAGTCAGAAATTGGGGGTGAGCTCTCAAGGTTTGGTTTGGAGAAGCTTTGGAGTCGCCCAGGTTTGCAGGAATTCTGCAGCAATCCAGGTTTATTTCTCCTTTATTTCTCCTTGGCTTTTCCTGGGGCCCCATCCAGCAGCAAATGTGCAAAAAGTGAATTTTGGGAGGCCTGGACACGACCACAACTGGACTTTTGGCCTTGTTGGGATGGAGGAATTCCCAACTTTCCCTGTCTGGCATGGGAGCAAACATTTCTTTGGAATTCCATAAATAATTACCAACAATTCTTTAGAACATTTGAGTTCTGGGATTCTCCCAGGTGGAATTCTGGGGTTGTTTTCCCAGAGGATTGAGAAGGAAAGGGCTGCAGGAAAATGGCACAATTGTTTGGGGTCTGTTCTCACCATGTTCATTTTGGTTACACTCCCAGTGGGGAAACAGAGTCAATATTGACCAGGAGAAAATCATCATTAACACCTCATGAATTCAAAAATCCTACTTAGAATCACAAGATTTTTAAAGAGTACAGAAGAAGTGGAAGCAAAATTTTTTGAGTAAAATAATTTGA